TAAGAAACAGAGTATAATTATATTTACGTCAACAATATCAACACTCTGTAAAACTTTGAATAAAAAATAAGGAACGTGAGTATAAAAGAAAGAGTTTAGCAGTTTAGAATAAAATAAATATATCCACAAATACTTTAAGAAACAGAGTATAATTATATTTACGTCAACAATATCAACACTCTGTAAAACTTTGAATAAAAAATAAGGAACGTGAGTATAAAAGAAAGAGTTTAGCAGTTTAGAATAAAATAAATATATCCACAAATACTATAAGAAACAGAGTATAATTATTTACGTCAACAATATCAACATTTTGTAAAACTTGGAACAAAAAATAAGGAACGTGGGTATAAAAGAAAGAGTTTAGCTGTTGGTGCAGTTTAGAATAAATATATCCACAGGTACTTTAAAAAACAGTGTATAATTATATTTACGTCAACAATATCAACACTCTGTAAAACTTGGAACAAAAAATAAGGAATGTGTGTACGTTTACGTGACACGGTACGAAAGTGACAAGAATATATACGCGTCTGATCGTCGAATAAGTGGATAGTTATCAAAGATTTTCGAATCGAAGGTTATCTTTCTGACACCATCCCTTGCGATATCAATTTACCAGTACGAGAGACTTCTACTTCGTTTGCGAGGCAAAAAGAACAGAGGTGAGACGACAGTGTAAAAAAAAAAAAAAAAAAAAAAGAAAAGAAAGAAAGAAAGATGGGAACGAAGAGCACGGAGAAGAAAGACGGAGGAGAGAGTGCAAGAGGCGAGTGCAACACGTATGTACCGGGAGAGAGCCGAGTGGCTCGCGTACGGGGGATTTTTTTCAATTTGGACCGGTAGGCGAGCGCCACTTGCCATAACGCAATTAATAAACTCAACGAGCGAGATCCGATCCCGATAGCGGCGGCGTAACATCCATTCGGGACGTAGCGGGCACAATGGCCGGCACAATGGCCGTGTATACGTGCACGCAAACGCTCGGTACAGCCAGGACGGCCCGATACGCATCTATGTTGTCTCTACAAAATTAAAACCCATGAGAAAAATAAATAGCCCGAGGGGGAGAGCAGGGTAGGAAGCGGGCAACTCGAGATGGAGATAGAGAGATAGGCAGAGAAAGAGAGCAAAGCAGGGGTAAACGCGTGCGGGGGTTGCTTTAGGTTAACGATGTGCACGAGAAAGTCTCTCTCTCTCTCTCTCTCTCTCTCTCTCTCCCTCTCTCTCTTTATTTCTCTCTTCGGTGGATGCGAAGCCGCATAGCTCGCACCTTTCGGTCGGATTCGCCGCTTCTATATCCGCTCGCTCTCTCCATTTGGCCCGATCGTTTTTCGATGAAACTATTCCCGAAGCTGGAACTATTAGGCTACGCTGCGTAATAAACTAATGACTATCGGCTAACGTCGAGCCGTTCGTACGCGTTTCGGCCCCCGGTAATTATTTAATGCATCGATTACCGAAATAGCATTAATCAAATTGGCCGGCCGCTATTTATATTATATGACCTAATGCACGGCGAATCGTATATTAATGCGCAAACTAAGTAAATTATCCAAGCATCCGCGTTTACGCGGCGAACGCGAATTTCTCTTCTTTTCACCCCGAGGAGAGAGAGAGAGAGAGAGAGAGAGAGAGAGAGAGAGAGAGAGAGAAAGAGAGAGACTCTGAGTGGGTTCCGTTTCTGATCGAACGGTGAAAATATACCTATCGATGGCACGTGGAAACAGCAGTGGATCGCGTAGATAAACGCGTGGGTGACGCGTCGCGGTTCGCGAATCGGTGGAGGCAAGGGCGAACGAAAGAGGAAGAGTGGTGGGTGTCCGGGCGGATACAAGAGAGGGGCGACCCCGAGTGGGTGGCTGGGGTGGTTCGGTCAGTCGCGGCTGCAACGACGCTGTACCGGCCAGCGAATGCTCATAAAACCATTGATTAACTGTTGCCGGTCGTAGGTCAGCCAACGCGG